TCCTTTCTTTCTTTTTTTACCCTCTTACCCTCTTCCCCTCTTCTTTTCTTCTCACCTTATCCCTCTCTTCTTTCACCTTTCATTCATCCCTTGCATTCCTAACCCTAACTCATTCTTTTCTTTCTTCTTCCTTCCATCTTTTCTGTTTCTCTATTTCTCCTCCTTTACTCCTTTTCTCTTCTATTTACGACTCTCCTCTTCCTCTCTCCTTCCTTCTTTTTCTATCCTCTCTCTCGTTCTACCTTCTTTCTACTCTCCTTTTCCTCTCTCTCTTTCTTTTTACTCTCTCTTTTCCTGATCAAAATCTCTTTCTCTCTTTCTCTCTTGCAGCATACTTTCTTTCCTCTCTCTCTTAATCTTTCTGTTTAGTGTTATGCCTATCACGCAACTTCCACACCACTATCTCCGTCTCGAATCATCATCTCCTTCATTAGCCTTACTCTCCTTTATCTCTACTCACACTTAATCCCGAATCTCGATAATTCCTCCATGTGTACTCTCTTTCCTCATCTCTCTCTCACGCTCTCTAGTCCTCTCCTGTCACCATCCTACTCCATCCATTGTTCTCATTTCTCATCTTCCCCCTTTCTATCTCCATCAGTACGTTTTTTTCTCTTTTCTCTCTTCTCCTTGTCCTCCTCGTTCCTCTTACGTTCCCTTTCCATCCTCTCTCCTCCTTCTTCCTCCTTCCGAATCGTTTTCCCTTCTCTCTGCTCTCCTTTTCCTCTCTTTCCTCGTCTCTCTCTCACGCTCTCCAGTCCACTGTCGCTTTCTTTCTCCATCCACCGTCTTTCCTCCTTTTCTTCTCTCCTTTCTCCATCAATACGTTTTTTTTCTTTTCTCCAATCCCCTTCTGTCACCATCCTTCTCCATCCACCGTCCTTACTCCTCTTCTTCTTCTCTTCTTTCTCTACCGTTACTTTCTTTCTCTCTCTCCTCTACTCGTCCTCCTTTCTCTGACACTCCCTTTCCATCCTCTCTCTTCCTTCTTCTTCCTTCCGTGTCTTTCTGTTCCACTCACTCTTTTCCTTCCTTTCTTCTTTCCTCTCTTATTCACGCCTCCTATCACCTAGCCTTCTTGTTCTTCTTACCACGTGTTCTCTCGTTATTGTTACTCCTATCTCCATCTATCTCTGCATCTCTTCCCTACTTCCATTTGTGTCTCCTCACACTCATCCGATCTATCTCCCCGTAGGGGACATTTGAAGTGCACAAGTGTCGGGGTTTAGCGTTCCTCCGGTCCCGAGCTCAGTACATTGCACAAAATCACGAACATTTACACTAGCACACACTCATTATTCTACTCTTACCGTTCGACTTCCCTTATCCCCCATCCAAAAGAAAATTGGAAAGCCCTTTTTCCTTTCCTTCCTTCTTTTTCCTTTCCTTTCTTTCCTTCCTTTCCATCCTACCTCCTCCTAATCATTCTCCCGTACTACTGCTTTTCATCTCTTCTTCTACGTTATCCTCATCCTTGTTCACGTCAATTTTACTCGAATTTTCTTTTCTGTATAACTTCTTCTCTCTGCCCTCCTCCACTTGTCCTTCATTTCCTCGCTTCACTCACTATTCCGTCATTCTTCTCCCTCATTTTTTCCACCTTCTTCCGCCTTTCACATACTTCTTTCTTACTTTCTTTTACGATTCACAATCCTGCTTATCCTTCCCGTCTGCCATTTTTTCCCTCTCTATTATTATTAATATTATTATTTAATAGTAATATATTTTTCAATTTTTCTAGCCAGTTGTGGTCTCCAAATACACTAGCACACAATATGTTTATTTATTTCTATGTATTTTCAATTATTTTATACAATACCATACACTATTTATTTGTTTTCTTAATTCACAGGTTAGATTGCTGATTGAGATATTACTTACAATAAATAAGGGACGAGGTTTGTGTAATTTGTATAGTATAGTATTTTTTTCTTTTTAAGTTACATATTTTTAAATTTTAAGTAGATTACAAACTTTTGTCTTTCTTTATTTCAACTTTTTCATCTCATTATCATTTTTATTCGTTTCTTCCGTTTATATTTTATTTCAATATGTTTCGTTTAGCAAAAAGGCGCAGTCGCAACTCATTTCATTTATTATCTACAGTTCATCGTCGTCGTTTAGAAAAAGTAGAAAGAGATGCGCGTAATGAATTGCTACAGGAGAGTTTAAAGATTGCCAGTGCTAGAGTCGATTCAGACTTTGTTGATGAAGGTCAAATTCTTGCGGAATCTAGTCAGCCAGCAAATGAAGAAATTGCATTTTATTCTAATGCATCATCTGATAATATGCAATTTGATGAGGCATCAAGTTCTTCAGATGCTGCTAAATCTACTTCAGATAGTGATGATGCATTATATACTGAGCCTCAAAATACTCGCGATAATTTTCAAGAACGCCTTGCTGAAGTCTTCGTACGTAGTAATATGTCTCATGCGCAAGCAAATGCTGTTTTACGAATAGTTCGAACACATCCCTGTTTATCCACATTGCCAAAAGATTGTAGAACGCTTTTAAAAACTCCACGGATCACGCATCTCACATTTAACATTGCAGGAAATGAATATCTTCATTTAGGGTTTGAGGCAGGAATTCTTTCCATTCTTGAGCAAACTTCTTCGGATTTGATTCCACTTGACACTTTAATGATAAACTTTAGTACAGATGGTGCGACATTAGATGGGCAGAGCAAAATTCAAATGTGGCCGATACAAATTAGAATTGCAAATATTCCGCGAAGTAAACCTGAAATTGTAGGTGTTTGGCGAGGTACATCGAAATCAAATAGCGCGAAAGAATTATTTCAGAATTTCGTAGATGAAGTTCGAGATATATTAAATCGTGGAGGAATTACTTTCCGTAATCAACTAAAAATAGTTCAATTAAGATGTTTCATAGCTGATTCTCTTGCGTGAGCTTTTGTTTTGAGTCATAAAGGTCACGATAGTCTATTTCCGTGTTCAAAATGTTGGATTCGAGGAAGTTGGCTTCGTCTTGGATACATAGCTTATCGTGGTATTCAGCATAGACCCCGTACAGACGAAGAATACAGAGATAACATTGATGGAGAACATCATACAGAGTCTGAATCTGCTCTACTTTCTTTGGGAATGGGATTAGTAAATCAAACGGTTTTTGATTACATGCACACTGTTTGTCTTAGTGTTGTTCCCAAAATAAATAATGTTCTTGTCGATGGAAAATATAATTCAAGTTTAAAACTTTCTGCTAGATCACTTGAAATTATGACTGCACGTTTACAACAAGTTGCGAATTACATCCCTAAGGAATTTTCACGAAAACCGCAATGAAAAAATATGGAGGGTTTAAGGCCACGGAAAATCGTCAACTTCTTCTATATACTGCCCTAGTTATTTATTACGGACTTATAAATCCTACTGCATACAAACATTTTCTTTTATTACATTCCGCGATTCGAGTTTTGCTTAGTTCTTCCTTATCAAAAGACCGTCTTGATTTTGCATCTACAGCATTAAACATTTTTGTAAATAGAGCAGAAGATATATATGGTCCAGAATTTCTCTCATACATTACTCATTGCCTTTAACATCTTGTAGATAATGTTAGACGTTTTGGCTCATTAAATGAATTGTCTATGTTTCCATACAAAAACAATATGATGTATTTCCGCAAAGCTTGCCGTAAACCTCATCAACATTTGCAACAGATTGTAAATAGGCGACATGAAAATTTACAAATCACACAAAATATTGTAAATAATCATACAAATAAAGTGATGCATTTCAGTAGACCTTGGGTTAGTCCTATAGTTTTTAATATTTCCTTACATAGTCGCGAGTTTCAGATCTTAGACACAGGAAAATTTCGTATATCAGTAAAGGATCGGGATAATACAATAATATTAAAAAATTCAAAGATTTGTCTTGTTTAGAACATCATTTTCTTGCGTGATCATTATCATTTAGCGGTTAAAGAGTTTTGTAGAGTTGAAGATGTTTATGATATTGGTTTGTCATTGTCATATCAGTAGGTATCTTTCGATGTTCTTTATTATCTGATGAAATTATTATAATAGATTTGAATGAAGTGCAGAATAAGTGTTTCCGTATACCTTATTGGCACACTAAAGGGCATATAGATTCTATTACTGATGTCTGGGTAGTTGCAATTATTCTACACACTATGGATTAGGAATATTATTCTAATCCCAAATTTCTGCCATTACTTCTAAAGAAATCATAGTCATTCTACATACTATAGGTTAGAAATATCAGTTCTAATTTCAGTAGGTGCATTCTCTCTAAGGCCTTTAAATCCATACATAAACTCTTACTTCAACGTACAAACAAAAACGGAACATAGTTTTACGATTTTTCTTGTCGATTCAAGTTTATACGCGGGTTTAAATTTACGATCAATGAATGTAACGTAATGCGTTAATTATGGAAGAACGTGTGCGAAGGGTTTTTTTTAAGATGAGTCAAGAACGAGGACGAGGAAGAGGAAAAGGAATAAACACCGAAGGGAAGACAGCGTCTAAAGCATTACAATTATTAAACAAGGACATCGAAAAATACCGCACAAAACACATACACAAACCTAACATAACTACACTTCACAAAAATACACAAAAACAAGCAGCCTCAGCATCATCAAAGTATCATTCACAATCTCCAGTATCATCATCCTTGCATGTTCCATCATCATCATTCTCATCACAACACTCAAATAAACACATACCTCCTCCATCAGCACCATTACAACATAGATCCATTGTATCACATTCACTTTCAGTAACCACTCAATTATCCGCACAAGACATTACACCAGTACAACGCAAACAAACATTATCACGCTTGTCTTCATCAGCATCTATACAATCATTCACGCAAAACATCCAATCATCATTCAAACCACTATCACAACAAATAAACAGTAAACAAACACGATCAGGATCATTTGTTCATGATGTACGCAGCCATCGCCTGTCCACACATAGAGAAGAATTGATTAAAAAAAAGGAAATAATGCAGTCTCTAAAGTAAGTTTAAAAAATAATTACAATAAAAATAGTTATTTATGTGCACGAATAAAGGCATTAAATTTCATTTTAGAATCATTATGGATCAACTACGTCGAATGGAAGAACGACAAATTTCTATAGAAAATAAAACCGAGTAAGTATATTAATGATTTTATTAAAGAATAGCAAGCAAAACTGAATACTTATAAATACATTAATTACATAATTTTATTTTTTTACAGTGAAAATGCAAAAAGTATAAAAAGATTATTAAAACAATCTACAATAAAGAGACCAACAAAGCCACAGGAGGTCTCATTTAAAACCGTGGATGATTTCTTGGCCTTCAAAGAAGTTGATGAAGAGATTTATAATGATTTGGTAAGGATATATTTTGAAATATAATATTTTCTAACACAAATATATATAGTAATTTTTTCACTTTATCAAAAATTTTGTATTAGGTGGGATACTTCATTTATCTTGGACGAGCCAATCCAATAGATTGCGCCGCGGAATATTTTCGCAACGTATTTCCAGAAGACGAGAAGATTTTATCACACCTCACTCTAAATGGAAAAAGTGGACAACGAGGAGACTGTAAATTGCGGAACAGTCGCTTCGCTCAGGCATGTCAAGGTTTGTAAAAATACTGTCAGTGTGTGATGTACATGTGTTCTACATTGATTACGTTTACACGTCAAACTTAATTGAATTTAGTAACTTCCGTTTTGAGGTAGGCTAATCACAGTCATTCTTCTAAAAAATAAAACAACTGTCATTGACCAACCTTATATGTCGTCTACAATGGGACTTTAAGAGAGAAATTTAAGATTTAAAAAATTGACTAATCATATTCATTATTCTTCTCTAAAGTCAATTGCAATTGGTTAATTTCTTAAATTTTAAATCTTAAAATCCTATTATAGATGACGCATTAGAACAACTAGAATGTTATTAAATTTGATTAAAGATGACGTAAATGTAATCATTATGGGTCGTAAAAATAAAAATAATCATGACCTTATACTTCAATTTTTTAAAGCAAATTCTGAAAGATATATGATTGTAATAATTATATGTATAACTTTAAGAATTTGCTCCAAAAAATTTAAGTATTTATCAAGTTAATTTTTATTAATACGCGGGGGGGAGGGGTCATTGAATATAAAATTAAAGTATTTTTCGTCTATATTTTTTCAGATGCCATGAACACAAACAAATATTTTCTTAATCCCAACAACATCGAATTTTATGACGCCCTGGAAAAGGCTTTAAAAATTCTTAAAACCAGAAAATGGCGTTACATAAAAAACGACGCCAAAAAAAAGAGGAGGACGTCCCACCAAATCGACGCCGCCGAATAGACAACGAAGATGAGGTCTGTGTTTCTTATTTTTACTTTTACTTTTTTATTTTTTTTTTTTTTTAGTTGATAATTCTTCCAATGTAAAGAAAAAAAGATAAACTTTGAACTAATTCAACTAGTTCTAAAAAGAATAAACTTTATGATTACAGAAAACTACAGAATTTGAAGATATCGTGAAGACTGAGGAGTTCGATGATGTCGAAGACTTGGAGAACGATGAACTAACAGAGACTCATTGTCAGCACACAGAGGAAACTGAGGAGATTGAAGATGCAGAGAACGCTCTTTAGTAAAAATATTCATATTTTAAAAATTTAATAAATTTAGGAATTTTCATAATTTATAATTTATATAATTAATAATGAATTATTAAAAATTATTACAAAAAAATAGGATTTTTAAACATTTTTTACAAAATTATAGAAAAAAAGGAAATTTTAAAGAATATTTAACATTTATATGTATACATGTAAAAAATTTTTATAAATTTATAATATACAAAATAATTTAATATTACTGCTAGAATATTTATGAATAATTTTAAAGTGTTCTATTTAACACAGACTGTAAAAAAATTATGTAAAATTACATGTAATTTTGAAACCCACTATAATAGGTGTAATTTTACACAAATTTTTTATATATTAATGAATATTTCTGAAATGTTTATGATTTATCAGTTTTTATATTTTACCCTATTTTTTATTGTATTTTATAATATTTATATTTTGTCCTATCTTTGAATGCATTTTATAATATTTATATAGATATAAATTAACGTTAATATATTATTCTATCTTTATTTTTTACTAGATATCAAAATAGAATGAGACGTCGATTTACGTTAATATATCATTATTCAATGGAAATTAAAGATAAAATGACGCTTTTGCATTTTTTCGTATCACTATAAATGATAAATGAAATACATTCAAAGACAGAGCAGAACGTTGCTTATTGTGAAAATATTTCCAATATTTTCAGATATTCTGATTTTACGCAATTTTTATGGAAATTCTAACAATTTTTATTTTTCACCAGGCATGAGGATTACAACATCGCTGAAGAAACCCAGGAAAATGACGTGGACGATGATAAGATCCAAGAGGATACAGAACGCGTAGACGAAGATAATATGGAAGTACTGAAGTACCTAGAAGAGCACAGGGAAACTTGAGTAATGTATGGTCAATTTAATATTTTTTTAGGTACTTTGGAGAAGCAAAAAACACAGCATCAAATTTTGGACGTGCTTCACAGAGAATGGCGGGGAGGGGCCGTTCTCACCCCTAATTCATTTGTTTTCTTTTTCAGGTGTAAAATATGGAGGGGCAAATTTTTTGGTTGTGCCTCACAGAAAAGGGCGGGGATGGGGTCCTTTCCCTCTCAGCAAACACAAAATAACAATAAGTTTGAGTTGAAATAAGATCGAGTAGTACATTAAAATTTAATTTATATAATTTAATTTATAATTTAATTACAAAATAATTTATTTAAAATGTGTTATTTTTAAATTTTAATTATATTTATAATTAACTTAAATTATATATATTATTAATACATATATACGTGAGTTAATTATAAATGACATACATGTATATTAGTTATATTAACAAAATATACATAATATTTATACACATAGTAATATATATATATATATATATATATATATATATATATATGGTATATATACCCTGCATAAAATGTCTTATATATAATTTTATATATAATTTTATATTATTTATTAGAGTAAATTATTATACACTATATATATACATATATATATGTATATATGTATATATTGTACATATTATATAATATATATTATTATATATACATGTATACATTTATATTATTATAACATATATATATATAATACGCATATATATAACTTTTCTTAAAATTATATGTATTTTATATAAAATGTAAAAAAATAAATGTTTTTTAATTATAAAATTATTATAAACTATTTTTAATTATAAAATATAATAACAAAAACAAAAGGGGAAGAAGGGGAGGAAGCGTGTACAAAATGCCTTCTTGTGCTGATATTATACTGATATCGTATTCGTACTGTATTGTATTATGAAAGTACAGCGTGTACGAAAATGCTTTCTTGTACTGGAACTGTATTGATATTGTACTAGTATTGTATTAATACTGTACTGGTACTATAGGAGCACAGCATATAATGAGAATTTTATATTAAAATACATAGCGGTACAGTGGCGCTACAATAGCCGTACCGCGTACCAATACGGTGTACTGGTAATGTATGCCTACGGTACGCACATACGTGGTAGATACCGTACTGATACATAGAGTACGACGTACGCTCTCCGTACCGGTACTGTAAAAATATTTCGTTATCTGGATTACTATAAAGTATTACTGTCTTTGTGATTAGTCAGAATCGTGCTCCTTTCCGTGCACCGTTTTTTAAACACAAAGTATTGTTCGCTCTCCTTTTTGGTAAAAGGAAAAATAGCTGACAAAATTGTCGACCACACCTTCCCGCCTAAAGGCGGGGGAGGTGTTTCTCTTCCGACTTCGGACTCAGACCTATTTCTTAGTGATAATGAAGAAACAAACAACGGATATGTACCGGGAAGCCAACCCGTAAATATATCTAAGGAGGAGGTAATGGAAGTAATTCTCGATAGTTTTTCAAACCTGAAAAAAGGATGTTCTAACCTCTCTGACGATTCGTCGGCCACTGTGTCTTGTACAAACGCTGATGGAAACCAAAAAACAGGTGGGAAAAATCAAAAAGTGAAGCCTAAAAAAGCAAAGCTTATTCAAGTACCTTCCCAGCGGAGATTGGACTCTCCTTCGGAGAATACCCTCATCTCGAAGAACTCGACCAAAAACATCTACAATGACAAAAGAACCTCTTCACCAACCGACAACAAGTCTTCGTCAAACTCTCTCTGGTATGATCGTCATTATAATGGCCCATTTATTGTTTATGCTAGAAAACTGGGAGATAGAAAGTCCGCCAAAGATGTCTCAATCAGAAGCTGCCAAACTTCTAAACAAGGCTAATGCGAAATATAATTTGGTCGAATACCACTCATGGAATACGTGGAAGGTTTCTTTCGACTCGGTCCAAGAAGCCAATTCTGCTATTCGCAATAGATTCATTAAGGAACTAGGATTAACGCTCTTTATACCAAAATTCAGAATCCTGCGCAAAGGAGTCATAAAGGGTATCCCCTGTGACATTCAGTTAGAAGAGATACTTAAAGTGCTTGAAAAAGACAATTCACTTCTCAGAATTACTAACCTTTTTAGACTTAAAAGAAAGGAATCCAATATCAAAAAAATGATCGATTCTGAATCTAAATGCATCGATTAAAGGTCAAGACATCCCAAAGATTATCAAATTATGGAAAGTAAATCTCCGAGTTTCACCATATTTTCCTCCAATCAAAAGGTGCTACAGATGCGGCAAATTAGGTCACACTAGCAAAGGATGCTCAGCGGAACAGGAAAAGTGCCTTAACTGTGGTATACCTCACCAATTTTCTTCTGAAAACCCTTGTCTGTTTTCGCCTAAATGCATCAACTGCAATGAGAACCATCACACGTACTCTTAGTAGAGAGTGCCCCACTTTCAAACAAAGAGTGGAAATTAATAAAATCATGTCGGTTGACAATATTTCATATATGGATGTATACAGGATTGTCCTAAAGTCAGAAAATACCATCAACAAGACAATAAATCTTCTCAAGGACCAGAGAAATTTCCGTTCCTGAGCCGGAATCCAATGAATTTATCCAAATCTTACGCTGATATTTCGAGTTCGCAAACGACTTCCACATCTAGGCCCCCACATATGCAATAGAAGTTCTGACGGACCTCTTCAAGAGAATTTCAACAGCT